TTTCCGTCTTTTTGGCTTCTTTTCTCGCCTCCTGCTTTCCCGGTGTTTGAACAAAGGCTGCTTTGAGCTGGATGTGAGATGATGCCAAACTAAAGTACAAATTGGACTCATGGGTCACTTGTGCCCGTTAACAGTTCTTCTCGCTGGCTCCTGTAATGAGCCGCTGCACGCTGCAGCTCGGCCTATAGAGGCTCATTTATCTAATTGATCTTTGGCTGGAGACACGTTCAACACTGATGAAGTATCTCAGGAGCCAAACCACATTCACAGAAACGATATCCTCCTCCCCCGCTCCCCACTGATTTTGCTCATGATCTATTAGTGAGTGGATTCTGCTCGGCTGCTGGACGCCGGCCCTCTCTCTGACAGCGGTAATGGTTCTTGGCTTTGCAGCTGCCTCGAATATATTTAAGGTCTAAAAGGATTTGAGGGGAGCACAAACTCTGCCAAAAAGATGGAGCTGTTAGTGAGGAGAGAGAGAGAGAGAGAGAGAGAGAGAGAGAGGAGGTGTGCATTGAGCAGCACCAGAGTCCTCGAGCCGAGCAGCAGTGCCTGAGCCAACCGTTGTTGAAAATGTTTCAAATATTTGAACAAACACAAAGAGCGCTTCATTCATCTTATCTCGCAAGCTCAGGATCCAAACTGTGTGGCAGCTCGAACACCTGTTTAATAAAAGATAAAAAAAAACAACAACCAATCTCTGTCACCCCGAGCGTGTTTGTTGGAGCTCTGAACCCGGCACAGCAGAGCTCATTAAGGGCAGGTATGGAGGCGGGGAAGGTGGTGGAAAAATGAGACGCAGCCAGCAACAAAAAGGCACACTTTCCCCGCTTCACCTGCCAACTCCTATCAGAGCATCTGAGCGCAGCACTAATGCCTTTCAAGAGCCTTACATGTACACAGTTTCCTTCCTCATCCCAATGCCCAACTCTGAAAACAGTTGTATTTTGAACAACATCAAAACGTTGCCTGGAGACAGATTTCCTCCAAACGTATAAAGAGTGATCAGACAGGCCCGAGCAGAGTGGAGACGGTAACCCAGCCAAGCGTCTGACGTCACGACTGAGCTGGTGTACACAAAAAGAATCACCAGCAGGTTTCTTCTGACATGCGCTCAACAAATATTCATTTTTTTAACCTGGTAATGATAAACCTGTTTGGTTTAATGTTGGCCCAATCACAACAAGAGGAGTAAGAATCCTCCAAATTAAAACGTCCAATAAATTTAAATAAATATTTTAGAGCTCAGCGGTGACCGCCCACTCTGGTTCCATTAGTAAATATCTCCATTCAAATCTTCCATTGACATTTCACAAAACCCTTATATCAAGAGATTGAAGCCTGTTACCATGACAACCACTTACCCCAATACTCACGACTATAGTGGATTTGATTCGGCAGCAAAACTGCGTTCCAAACAAAGAAAAAAAAGGCAACGGTACAAGACTGTGTACATCATTTTCTTTCTGAGTCAAGGAACTACACATCCCACAATGCATTGCGAATGATCCCTCTTCTTCTTAACTGTAACTTTAGTCGTTGTTATTATGTTTATACTGTTGATACATGTGTTAGCTAACTAAGCAGCTAGCCTGCTAGCGAAACTATCCATTCGCATTCGGTGCCGAGGGGCGGGAAATATTGCCATGGTAACGGCCAGCTACACCAATCACAGACATCGCTTTCACAGTCTGATCGTGGGTAGTGTAGTTCTTTTCCCGATATCGTCAATAAACCATGTTGTTCCTAAAGCGAGGTTGATATCAGCACGCGACACAAATGAGCGCCAGCGACAAAAATCTGGCTCTATTGTTTTCTATTGGAGCGTCCTAACTGCCCGCAAGTGACGCAGCGAGTGTGTATGTTGTGGCTCTCTCACATAGACGCCATGTCTCTGTGTTATTCTGTCGCGTAGATGGACGAGGTAGGAGGAAGGAGGGCGCTCTAGAGCAGAGCTCGTTAGCTTGTTAGCTTGTTAGCTCGTTAGCTTGTTGTACAAAGTGGAGATAACGGTGCTTTAATAATATCCACATCATGATTGAAATGTTGACCTTTGACCTGTGTCAACAACACAGAAGAAAAACTTTATTCAGCTCACTGCGAGCCGTTTATTGACGAGTCAACACTCGTCAGCACCCCACTTCCCTTTGCACACCTTCAAAATAAAAGCACAAGATGTCAAACTCTTAGTGAGGGGAAACTGAAATTCACAGAGCAGAGTATTAAATATTAAACGTCTGCAGTGTGGGATCGCACGCTGTCAGGACACGGTGTTACTTGGCTTAAGAAAGCTCAGCTGCAGACTTAGCACGCTCTTTATTCTTCATTTTTATTTCCTGCGTCACATTCTGGTGAATAAATTCAGTCTGATCACGGGAAATAACTCAAGGAGTTCAATGTGTTTCTACAAATCCAGAACTGTGGCGAGGAAAAAGAGACACGGGTCAGAAAATAATCGATTTACAGTCTTTTGTGGTTTTTAACTCAGCAGAGATGATCTGCCAGCGCTGACAGTCATGAACATTAATCTCTTAATCCCAGCCCTTAAATCGAATCCAAAATACCAAAAGAGTGAAAAACGGTCCATCTGGTGAGCTAATGCCGCACGCCTCCAATGTCAATTTAACAGTTCAGATACTTCGTTTGGATCCTGTTCATCTTCTTATTCATGAGAAATGCCTCCTTCTGATTTGAGATGACGTCTCGTTGGAAAACATGTGGCACTATTTCACCTCACAGACAAGTTATTTTAAGTATGCCTGAAAAATCTGATTTTTACAACCAAATAAAACACAAGCTGGGCGTTCTTCTTCCCGGCTGTCAGAGCTCCGGCAGATACTCCGTTATCTGCTCACAAGACAGACGAGACTTTTCCCAAAATAAAAGAAGATACCGCTGCCTCGCTATCTGCCAGATAAAATCAGCGAGGGGGGGGGGGGCGTAACAGGATGGGTGGTCCGCAGTTTAAGAAAGTGTCCTGAAGCTGAGGGGTCAAAGGGTTAAAGGGTAGTTCAGTATTTTTGAACCGGGTAGTCAGAGGTTCTTCGTTGTATTAGCCGGTCAGGTCAGCTCAGCTTCTTCATGGAGGAACGGGTCAGAGTGGTCACACAAAGGCTGGTCTACACATCACCGCAGACCGTGCCGTTGACTGATCGGACTTCCAAAGAGACAACAAATCAATGACAAGCCATTTACTGTGGATACACGAGGATACTTTATGGAGGACAAATGTCTGAAGATGGAGACTCTAGAGGTCAGAAAGAGAGACAGGGGAACCTGGAGGACAGTAGAGATCGTTGCATGAAGTTACTTGGTCGTGCAGGTGTGTAAACCTTGAGCCCATATCCATGAACCCAGAGAGCTACGACTGGGACTCGGTAAAAACAGAACTTCACGACTTTTCTGGATCAGGGGATACCAGCGGCTCACGTGTCTGCAGACTGAATTCAAGTTGACCTAATCTGCTGATCCTGGTTTTCAAACTCACATTTAGTGTTACAGTGCTGGATGTTTAAACTTAACGTGGGCAAACTTTCAGATCATGGGGTAAACATATCTTGGAGTAATCCCAGGATCTCGGTCTCGGAACACTCCGGTCTTGGTCTTAACTCGGTCTCGGTCCCTAAATGTCTTGATCTTGTCTTGGTCTCGGGGCCCTCTGGTCTTGGTCTTGGTTAGTTTGGTCTTGACTACAACATGACAGTAAAGTGCCAATATTTCAAAATATTTCAAACACTGATATTATCATTTACTGTATGTTTGGTCGATTTTTCTTCAAAATGACTCGTCTGCAGTGATGTAGAGCTCATCCTCCGTATTGACTGGGACCGGTTTCTCAATAGAGGGGCGGAGCTGACTGACCTCTATTGACAAGTACCTCGCTCATCCCCACCCCAGAACTCTGAACTCTCCCTTTAATACCACACAAAGCACTTCATCTGTTTTAAAACCATCCAGGTTCAGAGAGTCGACCTCTGCTGCCTCAGTGAGACGTTCCTCCCTCACATAGATTCTAAAAACTTGAATAAAAAGTGAAAGGATCTTTGATCAAAAGGGGAACGACGCTCGAGAGAATATATGTGTGACACAAATCCAGCTCACCTCACCGTAACAACATAAGTGGAGAACAAGCCAGACAGTCGAATGTGATCTCAGCCTTGGCAGCGAGGCGCCGCAGGAGAATATCTTTCTGTCAGGACGTCTTAAAGGAAAACTAAATCATGACGTGTTCCTCTTCAGGAGAAAGTGCAGAGAGAGGAAAAGCATCGCATATTGTTTCATTTTTAGCTCGCGTGTCGTCCTCTTGGCTTTGCTGAAAGACGGGAATAATTCAGGAGTTGGCTGCATGGTTTCTGTTTTTCCTCCTGAACTAAACTTTGTCTCTTTTCTTATTCATGTCGTTATTTGTTTCAAGTCTAAAAACGGGGGACAAACCGGAGCCAGAGGGGAAAGCAGTCTGACTGCGTGATGAACTGCTAAGTCCTTAAATTAGTATCCAGAGCGAGCTTTTATAACAAAGTGATTTAAGTCTCTCCGGCCTCTCCTCCAGGACTCTGCCCACAGGCTGACCCGTCCTCCCCGTCCCTGACTCACAGCCCCTCTGCCTCCTCTCTCATAATAAAACAGTAAATCCAGCTTTTCAGATGGCATTGTCCGGTAAGTGGAAATAAACACTCCGACCGACTCTCCCCACATGTACTTATTTCTTAGTCATGGCGTCCCACCCACAGACTCCTGTCCCGTAAAGGTGAAACCAGAGACTCAGCAGATCCCAAAAAAAAGGCTGTAATTTCTGGAGATTCAGACATAGAGGGAGAAGATGGTTACTGTCCTGTCGTCTCATATAAACTACAGACTTATGACGGTACGTTATTCAATAATCAGCAGAAACAGGAACAAATCTTCAGGAGCACGATGGCAAAAAGAATCACAAGAGAACAGAAACGTCAGCACGCTCAATGTCCCTTAAAGTCTTTCTATGTGATGTTTCACACTTAAAT